TCAAAAGGCTTTATAATGGCTTCATCGGTCGACATGCGGTTTTCGCCAAAAGATTCTTTAAAATATTCTCCAGATCATGACGCCCTTCGTTTTTTGTTTTTCTTAGTTTTGAGACAGTTTTGCTGCAAAAAGCTAAGTTTCTTTATTTCACCAATCGCTTTTGTGGGCCGACGCTTCTTTCTCTGTAACTTTAGAAAATCGGGTGCGGAAGTGATATTTCGCAAGGCGCATTTTGTTTTGAGAGTAAAGATCTAGATAAACACCTTCTAATTTTGTTAATCTATCAAGATTTATTGCTGCATTCAAGTAGAGTGTAAATATAATAGTAATAGGCCAATGACTTTCAGTTGATGTTAAAGTACCGATCATTCCTTTCATTGAAAGGGGGCTCTGTTAGTTTAATATAATATTATTACAACTTACAAGATGGAAACCGCCCCATCCCACCATCAGCATCATCATCATCATCATTAGTGGAAGGAGGTAGTATGTATGTAGTGTAGGGTTTTACGGCGCCGGCAACTGCTAAGGTCATATGAGCTCGCGAAACACAAGTTGTTTACTTTCGCAAAAGTTCACTCCACGACTGGTCAACTAATTGACTTTAAAATGCTAAAATGTTAAAATATTAAAATTTAGTGTAAATACATTTGTGATTTAAAACAAAGGAGGTAGTTAATGGCGTGATAAAAGATCTGGACGAAAGGAAAACTTGGAGTTTCATCAAGTCTCTAAATGGATCACCAGATACCAACTCTCCCAACGGGAAAAGGATAACATCAGCAAAGAAGAAAGCTGAGCTTTTTTCACAGCACTATGCAAAAATCAGTAAACTCCAATTTACCCAAGAGGAGCGCAGAAGAAACAAACTCCGATTGAAGAGCCTACTGTATGACGATGCGAACAGCGAAGATGAACAGCAATCATACCCAGACTTCATTATGAAAGAGCTGGAGCGTGCCATAACACAAATGAAGAGAAGAAGTGCTCCAGGACCTGATGATATACCACCATCTTTCCTAAAAGAGCTTGGCCCACTCGCATTGAAATAATTGCTCAGCATATGTAATCTGTCGCTTAGCCAAGCAGCGTGTCCACAAGACTGGCGTGAGGCACGTATCATTTCTCTCTTGAAGGCTGGTAAGTCACCTAGTGATATGACATCCTTTCGATCCATTAGTTTGACATCCTGTGTCGTAAAAGTTATAGAAAGGATGCACGCTGAAAGAATCTACTACCTGTCGGAGAAGAATGAATGGATTGCAGATATTCAGGCAGGCTTTCGCCAAGGTCATAGCTGCACGGACCAGATCATCAGAATCCGTCAAGGAATTGAGGATGGTTTTCAACAAAAGCCAACATTCCATCGATCAGTCCTAGTCCTGCTGGACTACTCCAAGGCATATGATACGGTTTGGC